TGGGAAGAGAAGGTGAGTGGGAAAATAGGACAAGGGGGTGGAAATAGCAGCAATTTTTTTTTTTTTTTTTGAAAATAAGCGATAGTATATTATTGATAAACAAACAAAAGTACAAATCAACTATGTGCCGAATATGGGTAAATCTTCTCCAGTGACCAAACACAACAACATGTTGAATTGATCTGGTGAGAATCATGCACAACCCAAACAATGACTAAATCCCCGATCCAGCAACCAGAAGCACATGCACTCAGACCTACAATACAAATCCGCCGCGCAACGGCAAAAACGGAAAATCCGTATTGAAAGTCAAAAGCTAAAAACAAATAAAAAACAAATTAGGACAAACTCCTAAAAAGTTCCTAAAAATTATTAGTATAAAACAAAACTAAGAAATAGGACCACCACTCCACATCTTCCGAGCAACCCGAAGAAAATCATAGTGCCATACCAGCTAAACCCATAGTCCCTCACTAGCTAAACCCAAACCCAACGCAACCTGACATCTTCCCCTCTTTAGAGCTCCAAACTATGTTGAAGGGAGCCAACTCCTTGTGTACGTAGGCCAAAATACAATGACTATATCATGGCCACTACATCGTTTCACAGTGACTGCTTCCACATAACAAAATAAATTAACAATCTTGAGGGAAAAAGGGATGGAATGAGAAAAGAATGGATGAAAGGAGAGGGGAGGAGGTAAGGAAGGAGGCCGCCAACCCCAAAGGGGGCGGCAACTAAGACTTTTTTCCTTAGGGTTTTCTCACAGAGTGTTTCTATAACAGTAGAAAGAGGTTCTAATGGTTGCTTTAGATGTGAAGAGCAGAAGAGAGAAAACCCCTTTGCTGCCACTCCTTTCGGGGTGGTGACTACGATGCTTTTTGTCCTCTCTTCCTTTCTTTTTCCTTTCCTCTCCACCTGCTCCCCTTCCCATCCTCTTTGCTTGCCCCTCCCGCATCGTCTCCTTCTTGGTTTCTTTGGCTTGTTTACAGATCGTTGTGAATCTATCTTGCGTGATTGTTAGTGTAGGCGCACACCAAATTGTCTTAATGCTAATGTTAAATTTCTTCATAATTGTAATGACTCTTTGTGGCTAGTAAAAGTTGGCGCCTAAAATCAATGCCATAGGGAAGATAGTTAGCCTTGGCAAATGATGGAATGTTGTTGTTGTCATTGTCAGCCATAGAGTCTCCAAACACAAACATGGCAGGCACCATTTATGCTCCCCTCCTCCCACCACCACCTACTTGACCTTGTGCTGCTGCTACTGCTGGAGCTGGAGCTGATGAGTAGTAGTAGTTGTTCACATCTTGGCCCCAAACTACCCCACCCATCAACAGCAACAACAAAACCACCATTGAAAAAACCCTAATTAGTGACTTGGCCATGAATCATGAATTAATGTGTTAATTTGTTGTGCTTTGTTGAGATTGAAAATGTGGGAGAAAATGAGAGAATTGTGCTAATGAAAGGTTATTGAAAGTGGCATTGGCTTCATCTTTCATCTGGCAGCCGGCATCGATTTGTATGAGAGCAGTGGAACTGAAAATTTTGGCTGAGCTGATCAGCCACCTCATTAACTTGCATTTGATGCATTTCAACCTCCCTTTGCCAAATTGAGAGGCTCCCAAAATTATGAGGTTGCCTATTTTTGTTTTGTGGATACTGAATATGTATTGGACTCTATCTAATGGAATTGTGCAAATATGCAAATATGCATGGGACAGTTGCGTAGGTTAACTTCTGTTTCTAAAACTTTTTTTTTCTTGAACTTCAAATAGAAATAAAAGCAGAGACTCTCTTGAAGAAATAAGCTTTGTCATCGTTGCGACTGCCAGCTACAGTCGCCTTTGGACGACTGGTAAGCAATCCTAACAACAGTCGCCCAAAAGCGACTGTAGCTGGCAGTTACTCCTTTAGCGAATGACTACCTGGCTTGTGGGCTACTGTTTTCAGGAAGCTAAAGGCCTGTTATTATTATTTTCATTTCCGTTTGTACCCCTAAGCAAATTGGATAACACCATACCACAGAGAAACCAAAAGACATTTGTTTTTTTTTTTCTCTCACATAAAAAACACAAGACAGAGAAAGTCTTCTCTCTCATAAAAAACACAAGACAGAAAAAGTCATCCCCATCGTTAGAAATGGCAGAACACCATTTTACCAGTTCCAGAAAAGGCAGGTAGGAGGAATTGACCCAAAAAACAGTATGAGGAAAACTCCAGAAACCCATTCTACCAATTTCAGGCATTCCCTCTCAAAGACTAGCTCCATGTATGAAATTAGGCCCATCTCCATCTAGAAAAACTACGAAGGCCCAAAAGCGACTGCAAAGATTTAAATATCGGCCGATATATCCTTTTTTTTAAGGGAGCTTCACTAATATATACCCAAAATAGGGGTTGAAATTATATATATATAAAACCCTACATGGAATGCACTTTAGAAACACACCCAAAACTGATTTACTACATAAGAAATTGGTGTTGAAGTTCCTCTAAATTACGTGACTGTCATTGATCAGCTTAAAAGAAGCCCAACACCAAAAACTTAAAAAACACCCAAAACAAGCCCAGCCCAATTTTATAAATAAAAAAACCCCCAAACAATTCATTAATGCGTCATGTTGATTAATGATTGTAATGTTCCACACCTTTACTGTCATGTTGATTAATGGCTGTAATGTTGCAGTGTAGGGTAATAACACTACTAGTTTCCTATGACATCCTATTTCTAATGCATGTCTACCTCTGTAATATTCCAGTTTATGTTAAGAACACTGCTAGTTTCCTATGACATCCTATTTCTAATGCATGTCTACCCCTGTAATGTTCTAGTCTAGGGTAAAAACACTGTTAGTTTCCTATGACATCTTATTTCTAATGCATGTCTACCCTTGTAATGTTCTAGTCTAGGGTAATAACATTGCTAGTTTACTATCATGTTGATTAATGGATGTAGTGTTCCAGTCTAGGGTAATAACATTGCTAGTTTACTGTCATGTTGATTAATGGCTGTAATGTTCCAGTCTAGGGTAATAACATTGCTAGTTTACTGTCATGTTGATTAATGGCTGTAATGTTCCAGTCTAGGGTAATAACACTGCTAGTTTCCTATGACATCCTATTTCTAATGCATGTCTACCCCTGTAATGTTCTAGTTTAGGGAAATAACACTGCTAGTTTCCTATGACATCCTATTTCTAATGCATGTCTACCCCTGTAATGTTCCAGTCTAGGGTAATAACATTGCTAGTTTACTGTCATGTTGATTAATGTTTGTCATGTTATTATTTCTAATACATGTCCACCAAAGAAAAGATGAAGAAAGAACAAACCATACCAACTCAAAATAAGCCGAGCCCATATTGTTAATAATATTATTCTAGAAGTACATTGTAAATACTCTGTCATAGAAGTACATTGTTAAACAAAAACGAGATCCATAATTGAAATAGTAACAAAAGATAAATCGATCATCAAAGCTTAAAATACATTCTGAAAATCAACTAAAATCAGAAGAGAAACAAATAATTGAAGCAAAAGATCAAAAATCTCAAGTTCAAACCAAACGACGACAGCGATGGCGATGATGACGACGATGACGTGGCGAAAGAGGAGTAGAGCTCGAAGATGAGGAGTAGAGCTAAGAGCATTTGATTGAGGTTCGTTCAAGGTTCCGAACAATCCGAAAAAAAAAATATGAATAGAAGCACGATTTTAGAACAAGAAATTGAAGGTGAAATATTGAAAATTGTAGATCAGAGATGAAGAATATAGTTGGACCTGAGACTGAGCTTCAATGGAAGCTCCTCTTGCTCCAACACTGAGAAAGCACCAGCGAGAAAGGAGAAAATGAATCTGATTTGGTTTTTTGGCATATATGCTTTGGTTTTTTGGCATATATGATTTTTCTCTCTCAAATCCATAGTACAAGGGCAATATAGGTATTTTACACACACAAATAAACTAAAAAACAGTTATTAATTGTCGATTTTTTAGTTTTTTTTGGTGTGTTTATAGTTTTTAAATGGTATAAGGTTTCTTTATAAGACTATGTCTAAGATTGGGTATATAACTAAATTTGTATTTTTTTTATGTGTCAATACAGATACAGGGGTTAAGCATATTTCTTCCCCCTTATCGGCAATATATCCTCGATATCCTCGATATTTACTGATATATCCCAATATTTCCAAATACCAGACAAATAACCCAGAAATTTGTCTTAAGTTTTGAAAGTAATTATAGATCACAGCCACTGAATCAATGTCTAAAACCAAGCTCTAATACGTAGTAGCTTCTCCTTTCTTCTCTTCTTAGTCATTTTGACTATCTTTGGCTCTTCCTCTCTCCTTTCTCTGGTTTGCTCGGTTTCTTGTGTGTTTGATTTTATTTTTCACCTAATCTTCCATGTCTCATTTCCTTTATCATTAAGTCTCACTCTTGTAATATAATGTTGGGTTGGGTTACGTTATGTTTGAATAATGTTGTCTTTGTTGTGTTAAGTGTAATTGTATTTATTTTCAGGATTTTCATCGCGCATTATATACACATACATTTCATCATATGCATATCTTATACTTAGTATATTTTGAATTTTATTTGTTCAATACATTCATTAATAGTATGCTTAATATTTATGAAAGTTCCATTTCAAAATTCCGTGTTTTTAAGCTAATATCTGTCTTTTTTGTCAATTTTCTCCGATACCTAAAACAACATTGATATATGCCCAAAATAACCATAAATTGAAGGCTCGATAATATCTGTATCGCCGATATTTTCACCCTTGAGCGACTGTAGCTGGCAGTTGCTCCTTTAGCGAATGAATGTGGTTAGCAATCCTCGAAAAACAAAAGGCAAATTAGTTTATGTAGCAAAATCAATGTCGTTGGCAACAAAAAAGAAAAGAAAAAAGAAACAGTTTTTCAATTTTGTGTAATTAAATAAAGATGCGATGCAATTGACCAAAAAAAAAAAGAAAAGAAAAGCTATGTGATGAAAAATCTTGACCCACAGTTGTTTTTCGGTTATATTGCCTCAGAGAGAGAGAGATCCTTTCCAAATCCACCCACATTCTGTGTTTCATAAACCACAACAACAACAAAATACACACACAAAAAAAAAAAAGGCACGTCAAGATTCCAAATTGACCCAGAAATAAATTTACACACAGAGCACACAAGGCAACGCAGATTCAAGGCTTCCATAACTTCATTGTGCAGTCTTCACTATATGTGGCTAGAAGATTCCTGTGAGGATGATGAGTTAAGCCAATTACTGTCTTTTCATGGACCTGCAAATGACAAGAAAAATAACTTTATAACTCTAGCAATCATGCATGCATTCTTAAGTTTTAATCAAACACCATCAAAAGTGCCTTTTCTAAGCTCATCTAAGGAACGTGCTCCAGGTGCAGTCAGATTTAAGCAAACAAACAGTGCAATCCCAAACATCCACAACCACACACACTCATGGATGTGAACGGTGCAAAAATCCGTGACCAGAAATAGCTTGAATTGAACATGTCAAGCACTCCTCTAAAACCTGAGAAATTTATTACATTTAGAACGGATACCTTACCACCAGTGAACAAACCTGACAAACTAAGTTCAAGCTTCAGAAAGATGTCATCTATATATGTTTATGAAAATGTCTTCAGATATCTCTGTTGGCCTTTTGGCTAAGACTAGGAATAGAAAGATATCATCAGCCAGCCCAAAAGGACCATTGTATTTTCTTTCTTTTTCCTCAACTGTATCAGCCTCATCTATCAAACTAGACAATAACCAATCATGACTAGTGACGATATTTATGAACAAACATAAACTTTCGAATTCTCATTCACACATTATGTGTAAAACATGTGAAACTTGGTCAATGTACACCTTGGAACATAAGGTTCATGCCAAATAGAAAGCATCTAACAGGACATTTGCAACAGTTTGGGTGATCACACTTGGATCAGTTGAGCAACCAAAACTGGGTGGAAATGCTAGAGGATCCTGGTCTCAATGAAGTGTCAAAAATGTCAACTTAACACAACCCTAAAAAAATCACTACAAAGTGTCAGTTGTCCTCTCATCTTATATGGTCAATTTAGCAAAATTGTAAATTCTTGGTTATTGTGATTCCAAAATGTGCAACAAGTAGAACATTTGGAAGCCCGAGTTCAGTACCATCTCAATCTCCATTAACAAAATCATACCTTCATTAGATGCTCTAATTTGCCAGACTGGTTACTGAAACAGTATAGATTCCTGCATATAGATGAATACTTTATCACAGAGCTGATGATCACAATTTCTTAGACACAATTTTAGGAAAGGAAAATTTTAATAGCACTAATGCACCCATGCATACTAAGAAAAAGAGAATAGCGCTCTTGAAGACAAGGGTAAGCACCACAAATAGGTGTATATTATACAAGAATGTGCATTAACATAAACCCTTGTAAATTAACACATGGAATAAGAGCACGATAAAAAATTGATATTTTATGTTTATCTGGAATACTCTGACCAAAAAACAAAGTTCATCTGGATTACCTGTCTTCACCAACACAGTAAATCCATTCCCCTTTTGGTGACACACAAGCTGCCAAAAAATCTCCACCTTCTTTTTTACCAGATGAAAAGCTCTTCACAACCTAAACCATAATAATCAGAAGTCCCAATTATAATAAATTGAATTGCACTCATCAATGAAAACAACAGATATTGGCTTTTAAACGTGCACACTTCAAATGAAACTATAAGAAATATTCAACATATGAATGGACCTAAATAAATTTCATAATTTACTGTGTCAATAATATGGTTTGGCTTGATCAGATTTTCTAATCAATAATTAGAATTGGACATTATTTGGGTTGCTGCTTCATTTTAACTTCGGCAAAATATCCCCAAAATGTCGCTGAATTCACCGAAATATCAGGGATTTCAGGAAGAACTATTTCCATCCCTTCTATCTACATCAGTGGTCCAAAATCTCAATAAACTGGATTATTGACAGATATTCTCATCCTTATAAATAAACTTCCCCCACCTCTTTTCATTTGTTTTAAGACGGTCGGCATATGGAATGCTGGTAACTTAGGTGCGGAGGGTGGGGTTCACTAAGAGGTTGAACTAAATCGGACGATCGAAGAAATGAGAGATCAGGGCAGGTTTAATTCTTCCAAGCTTAAATAAATATTATAGATAAAGAAATACTAGCAACTAATCAAGAAAAACTCTATTGTTTATTACTTAGGAAGATCCTTTATGAAGAGAAAATCAAAGTTGCTAAATTTAGAAACTGGGACATGTGCCACACATGATCCAAGTTTGCATATGCTGAGCTCTGGTACCACTCCAGCATCGCCATGCCACAATATGAAAGTAATTACGTCCTCCAACATTTTCTTCAGGAGGTTCTATGTTAGACAAAATTGGGTCTTTTAGCAGTAGTAATCCCCCAAAGCAACACTTTTAAGCAATAAATCCCTTCTTTTGTTATACTTAGTTTTAAGCCCTCAAGTTCTGTTGTTTAGTTTTACGGCCTCAATTTGTTGGGGCTTTTAGCAATAAGCCCTCAATTTATGTTGATGGTCAGTTTAAGCCCCGATACTAACATACATCTGTCTTCCAGTAATGATGAATAGCAGAAAGGGAACTATCCTTAAATTTTATAGTTACGACCAAAATCTGGCTTTATCCCAAAATTCATTTGTCCCTAACCCGCTAAGTCTTCAAGAATTCTTCTGCTTTTTCCAGCAATTAGATTTCCTTTTTAAAAGGAATTATTCAGATCCCAACAATACGGTCTAAAACAGTTCAAACATCAAGTCATAGGGCAAGCTTTTAATATGTGGTCCAACTTCCAGTACCAAATTGATTGAAATGAGTTAAACAACAATATGTAAAAAGTAATTTCTCTTGAATTTTAACGTAAATATCTACCTGTCCTTGAAGTGTCATGACATAAATTGATGATGTCCTATTGCATACAATGATGTGATCCGTATTTTTTGGGTAAAGATGAACTGAATTCACAGCAGCATCAGTTCCCTAACCGTTCCACCAAAAACAAAAAAACAGAAATAAGATACCTAAACAGTAAAAGCAAAAGCAAAATCTTAAATGAAATATAGTTAGGTTGCTCTAGCTTATAAAACAAGATGCACAATATATCTTTTCTTTCTTGAATAAAAAATATAAAATAAGTATACCTTTAAAGGAGGAGGTGGTTTAAATGTCTGTAGACAGTCAGTAGTCTTCAAATCCCAGACCTATAAACGATAATGTTCTGTTATGCCCCCAAAAAGGGAAAAATTTTGCGTAACAACAGCATCTATGAGCTACAAATACATATTGTGAGAAACTTACCTTGACTGTGCCATCGCTAGATGCAGTAATTACACGAGTTCCATCACTCGTAAATATTGCATCATTTACATAATAAGAATGGCCACGAAATTCTTTCAACAACTTCCCAGATTTTAGGCCATGGATTCTGCATCAGTCATAAGCACTCACAAATTTAAAATTATAGTAACCAAACGAGTATATATAATAAAATAAAGGAGTTGTGTGTGGCAGCCAATAATCCAAATTAAACGTAAAAATCATAGCAACCAAAGAATTTTAAAAAAAAAACAAAGGAGATGCAAGTAATTATTATATAACCAGTACACAATGCACACTTCAATTGATGTGCCACTCTAGGACAGATACACAACAAGAAATGTGAAAAGATTTAATAATACCTTGCAGTGTTGTCAAATGATGTACTAAGTATCTGGCTTCCATCCCGAGAGAAAGAAACGCTGGTGACACCCCGTGAATGTGCACGTTCAAGACGGCGCAAGCACTGACCAGTCCTGATACGCCAAACCTGAAAGATGAAGACAAATTAAGCTCAGCAACAAATTTCACTATAACATCTCCCCATTGAACAAACAAAAGGAAACATATTTAATAGGAATTGTATAGATTGTCTCTATAAGCATATTCAGAAATCTCAACTACAATATGTATGAGCTATTTCCGATAAAATAAAATTTGACCAAAGGCAACTACACCAAAACATAATCAGAAAAAGAAACAGAACATTTATATGAAACGAGCTACACCCTCCATAAACACTCCATACCAAAACAAAACTGAAACAGAACTATACAATGCAATATCATGTATAGAACACCCATATGCAACAGTTACTGACATGTGATCATAACAAGAGGTGAATGAAGTAAACCAAAATTTGGGGGTCAATCAATCTTTTGTAGCAACCATATCATAAATCGCTTTAACCCACAACTTGGAGAAAAACTAATAAAACCATTAATAGAAACCAGAATCTGGCATTAAAAACTTCATTTCACACCACTTATAAATTTGTGGAACTCCTAAAAGCACCGTATGAACACCAACTTTGACCAATGACATGTAAGAAATTAAGGGTACATGCTAATGAATTCTTACAAAGAAGTGGGAAATTATGCACCTAGAAAAGTGACTACCTTAAACTACACTAGTTTTAAAATCAATAGAGCAGCTGTCCCATATTCAAATGGCATCATTTGCTCAAACATCAAAGGAGCACAGGTCTGGGGCTGTGAAAAGAATTCGCAGACAGGTGTTTAGGAAATTTCGGGTCACAATTGAAGGACTCTGTCAGTATTGGAAGATTAATATGGTTGTATCATGGTTTCTTTCGAGATATCAACTTAAGCAATAAACACAAGAAAAATGTATCATGAACATTAACTTCTAGGAGTAAAACCAAGTAAAAGAACAGAACTTACTTTGATCTTTCCATCTTGTGATCCAGAAGCAATCATCTCTGAATCTCGGGTAAAGTCAACACAGAGGACAGCCTCTTCATGCATCATGAAAGTTTCCTGCAAAAATGATAGCATGTCAGAAAATGCACAAGACGACAGTCTGCTCAGATGGATGATACATTAAAATGCCCTTGTACAAGCTGTTAAACAACCAAATCAAAGTTGCAGAAAAATCAGTTGGGCAAACATCTACGTAGTTTAAACCAACACTATATTACCAATACCCTTTGCGAAAAAAACTGGGCTAGTTTATATGTAATCATAAACTTGCCAGATAATTCAGAACATAAAATTATATCAAACTAAAGGAATGATGCTTCATTGTGCAGTGGAAAACACAATTTGTCCCTCACTTTAGATCCCTTACTTGAAGCTCCCTTTACAAGTGTGTGCGTGTGTGTATCTATATATAAAGCTATTGTGTGCATATATCCACATATATGTATACAGACACACACAGATACAGAGAGAGAGAGAAAGAGAGAGCTTCAGGTGCAACTAATCTGCATGAGGACAAGCTGCTGTTCATATGGAAGATCCATTTTCGCTCTATTCTGCCGACGAGTTGATGACTCTAGGGTGTAAATGTCGTTAAGGGCTTACGGTTTAGCCTTTAGGATATAAATATCAAGTTTTGGGCTAATGAGTTAAAACCCTTTTAAGCCCTAAACAAACACGTTTCGGTGATAAAATAAAATAAAGCTGCTCTTCAAGTGGCAGCATAGACATTTACAGAGAGAATATCCGTTTAAGAAGCAACATATATATACAAATGTGTATATTTATATATATAACCCCTTTCCGAGGGATCCCTTTATACTATTCGCTAAAACGGATTGCAGGCAGCCCCAACCATCAATGTGATCCAATGATCCACCCTTCATTTTTAACGACCTCATTAAAGGATCATCCTTACAAGAAATCAATGAAACGGAAATCATTTAGCCAACTATAACATAACAAATAGACGAATTCCAATAAAACAACCAAATGTTCAAGATGATAATCAAATGGTTAAAAAATTTCCGACTTTCATGATTTTTTTGGAAGGATGATTCATAAATAAGGATCTAAAAACTAGACAGTTCGGATCACTGAACGACCACATTGCGAAGTAGACCCAACAATGCAATCCCTCTTTACTATTAATCAAAATGGATCCCTCTTAAGAGGGGGTTGAGAATATGTACTCCTGCTCCGCCTTGTCTGCGTATGGGCACACACGTACAAGAATACAACAAGAAGCCCAGTGCCCAAGTTCCCCCCATCCAGAAGTTAAGGGATGGTCAAATACACACAACCTTAGCTCCAGTTCCTATATCATGTTTCTTGATCAGAACCCATGAAATCAAGATCATAATGGAACAACCTTACAGTTAACAAACCTTACCCTTGCAATGAATATATAAATAAATACGTATATACATGTACAGATTATTCCAGAATGCACTATGAATATTGTGATCAATAGACTTCAGAAAGAAAATAAATACTCACATCAGCCTGGTACTGAAGATCCTTTTTGAGTTTCCCACTTATGTAATCCCATACCTGGAATTGACACAAATATTGGAGAAAAAATGCATTCAAATTTCATCCAATGTTTCCATCCTGAACAAAAGCATCTCAATCACATATACCTCAATAAACCCATCCATAGAGCAAGAGATAAGAAACTGGCCATCTGGTGAGAACCGAGCATATTCTGCATGACTTTTTGTCCCAAACTGCAGCAAAACACCACAAATACAGATTATAAGATCAAAAAGAAATGGTCACAAATAATCAGGCACTGGAGTTAGTTTACATTAGTAAGGTCTTTGCAATTTATTTAAATTTCTTCATATGCCAATCCAGCTTTAGGAGAACCAAGAGAGCTAACATCTAAGACTGATGTTACATACTTTGTTTAGTGTAGTCTCCGTTCTTAAGATCTAATTTGAAACAAAATTCAGTACCCATCACTAAGAATGCGACATGATTCGCAATATACACTTTATACATTCCTGAACCAATAAAAGATAAATGAAACTGTGTCCAAACAAATATTAAATTAGCTACACATGTGTTCCTTGCCTTTATTGTGTGTGAAAGAGTTGTTGGATACAAGTCGTCTACATCCTGTTTCATAGCAGCTGTTCCCCGAAACAAGTCAAACTGTGTTCCCGGAGGAAGCAATCCTGACATAAAAAATAATTAACCACCTAAGTCAGTGACCCTTCCTATTTTTTAAACAGGAAACTGATTAGAATATATTGATAGAGAAAGCAACGATGAAAAGTGAACCAGAAGCCCTCTTCTTTTTATAGCAATCTGATAACTTATATAGATAAGAGCTAACACATGTACATTGAACAAGCAGTCCACTTAACAAAAAGCACTTCGACAGGAGGAAGAGTGTAACTAAGAAAGTACAGCCAAAGCAACAAGAAAATCAAAATACACCCAAGCATAATACAACATCCTAAGAGACATGAGCTTTTGAATCCAAGTTCAAAAGGAAGAAACAACAGTCTCTGAATTCAGAAGACATCAACTCTCAATGAAAGGCCTAAAATGTAGCCGTGTCCCACTCTCACAGGAAATCCACTGCCTCCCCATCTTTATGTTAAAAATTTCAACTGTTATTTTCTTCTGTTTCTTTTTTTTTTTTTAAGAAAAATTAAGCTGCTGTTTAGGACCAAACCATCCAGAAAAAACCTAGCTCAGAATGACTCCATAGCATCACCTACTCACCTTAGCATCTTATCCTTCACCCAGAACCTCCACCTCTCTCCAAACTATGTTTTATCAAAAACTGAATCTAAGAAATCCCAGTATTTGAGATCAAAAGACTTCTCAAAATCAACCTTTACGATCAACATCTTGTTTCTCAAAATTCTGTACTCCTCAACAACCTCATTAGTCAATAACACTGCATCTAAAATCTTCCTACCTTTCACAAAAATGCCTTGAAAAGGCAATACCGTGTTCCCCAAACCTCTCTTAATCTAAAAGACAGAAGTTTAGCTAGAACATTGTATATGTGCTGAAATTTACCTATCTTCAGAGCATTTGATTTGTGGGGATTAAAGAAATAAAGGCCTTTACCACATTCACTGCAATGTTTCAATGTGTAACTTCTCAACCTCCATGGCCTAACTTCGAAACTTGTTCCTCTTAGGAGTTCCAATCATGCAAACTCATGAATCCTCGTCAACTCAACTATGAACAATATCTCTTCTATTCTAAGGTCTCTAGCTAAGTGTATGTATCTAAGTTTCTCTCCTCCCATGTGATCTCTAACGAAATTACAAGTCTTGAATAGGTTTTTTTTATTGAAGGATAGACATGGCATGGCAAGATACTCAAAGCTAGATCGATAAAAATCTCCATTTTCTCGTCTAGCATTTCAGGGGAAAACTTGTTGTGGATAGATAAAACTTGGTTTCAATGGCACTTAAACCTTAACTGCAGGATGCTTAAAGGTCCATACAGTTTTTTTGCCGCCATTGCCATGAAGAACATCTATAAGAATTAAAAAGTACTGCATATTTTAAAGAAAGGAGAGAAAAGGGAGGGAGCGAAGAAGAGAGTAATGAAAAAATGAATGTTAAGCAACATATCCACTAGAGGATAATTGTTTGAAACCTCTTCCTCATGTATTCATCGAGAAGCTATACCAAATAACAAACAAAACAAAATAACAGATAAAAAAGTTCACCTTGATGCTGCTGCCACTTTAGAGCCTGACCAATTAGAGCCATTAATCTAGACGGTGGCACCACAGTAACTTCTGCAGCAAGTGCTGTTAAATGCAAAGGAAAAGAAAACTCATCAACCAAAACAGAAATTGCAAAGAATAAACTTCAAAAATAACTACTGTGATTTTTCCTTTTGCTTTTATAACTTACTGGAAATATTTAAAACCAAATTTAATGATAGAAGAGAGATTGACTGAAACCTTGAGCAATTTGTGCACGCCGCTTCTCTTTCGTTGACTCTTGATAAGCCTGTTATAGACAACATAACCTTTAACTCTCTAATACAGCATCATACTGATTGATAGAAAGCAGAACATACTCCAAGACAATGGAGCGAGCCAGCAGTTCTAAAATTTACTCACTTTATTTCAATATATTGTTCAGTTTCTTATAACTGTTATATAGATGTGTGTTTGTATACTCAGTCTTACCTCAAAAACTTTTTTGGATCTACATATCTCAAAACGTTTTAATTCTCAACCATCTCTCCACAACTCTAACATTTAGCATTTACCACTGCTCTAATTTCATCATTCAAAACAACATCTTCAAATTACCTACATCATGCAACCTCATCCTGACTTGTCAGTTCCTTCATAATCAAGGTAAAAAGATATTTCATTGTTGACACATGACCTAACCCTGCACTAATTGGACTCTATTTTTTTGTCTCCTAGAGTTGTCTTGACCATGGTCACAGCTCCATCGTACAACACAGCAAAGAGGGCAACTTTATTTTTAATCATGATTACGCAGATTACAATCTAAGAGACAGGACACCTAATCTCATTCATCAAATTTTCGGGCATCTACTATTACAGGATTACAATGGTTTTTTCTCAGGACTTTGTTTTCATGTGTTCCATTATCTTATTCCTCTTGTTTGGCACATTGTTCTGCATTTAATAATTTGAATTTATTGTCTTGCTTCTTTTGCATGCTTCTGAGTTCCAATCCTTTTTCTATTTCTAGAAAAGGGAAGGGTAAAAAGCTGACTAACATGTTTTTGGCAGGACTCCACGCCACAGAATCTCATGGTAAATAGCAGGTTGAAATTCTTTCTTGCTATGACAAATATACAATAACTAGTGAGTCAAATAATTACACCAAAACTTTTTTCATACCTCATTTGGATCAAAATAAGTTCTGACGAGGAGATGCTCAAGTCGCAAGTATCTTTCAGGTTGTTCTTGCTTCATTACACCCATTACCTGAGTTTGTCTTAAGATAGCACGAGCAGTATCTAATTCTCGAAGTTCAATCATCTCCAGTACAATCTGCAAAATTTATAAGAAAGGAAAAATTATAACATGCCTAGAAGAAACATTACAAGAAAACTACTTCAGTGTCAATCCATTTGAATTAACATCCATGGAAGTAGAGCAAACTGTACCTGGCAGAGGGATCATTGCTCTCATACTAACATTAAAGCTCAAACAAAGACACAACTCTGCAGCCCAAGTTGACACCAAATGAAAAATCCGTACCCAGACCATACAAATATGGCATTGATAAAATAAAATAATAAAAAAAGGAAGAAAGATATCTGACCGGACTATGAAGAAGTACAAAAACACCAACTTCAGCTTAAAGACAAAAAGTTAATTCCCTTAGTCCCATTCATTCTCATGGAATAGGTATCTGATTAAATCCTATAGATTCAGATGTTAACATTCCTCACACTATATTTCCACAAGCTGAACAGAGAGAAATCTTCCACACTACAACTGGTAAGAGTCCATTTTTTCTCCCACGACATGTACAATTAAGTCTCTCACTGACCATAATCTTTTAATATGTTTGACTCTTCTTACATAATTTCCAATTTCCATCTGATGCATCAGACATGCAAAGGGTTCTACGGATTAAGACTAGAAAATGTAATTTAAGTGTTTAGGCATGTGTGTGGGTGTGCGTCCAAGGAGAGCAAGGGTATGACATTCACCCTTACATGGGAAGTTAATGCAATTTCGTACCCATTCCCAAGCTTCAAAGCCTTGAACCAAACGAGCCCTAAAGCTAAAACCTTTTGAGTCTAGAGGGACACGCCCGTGGTGATACAAGAATCAGTAAACTAAATAAATGATATAATTAACAGTTACTTCAAGAATTGTGGAGTTAATGTCAAGAGTCCTTATTTGTCTTAGGAAACCACAACCTCTTTAAGTTCTCTTCTTTTGTTATTTCTAGAAGTTAATTAAGTGCTCCATTTGAAGCCTATAAATAAGGTTATATGCTGTGAAGCAGCTCAGATTTGATTGAATGAAAGTTTGAGCGTTTGTTTAAGGCTAGGTACCTTGTTATCTCTACTACCTTCCTTTCTCTCGTCTACTAAACACTTCTCTATTTCTCTGCTGTCTCTATAATTACTCCAATCCTAACCTTATTTGTTCTCTAAAATTTCTACCTCTTCAAATTTCTATCATCCTAAGCCCACCATAACTATACCCAAACACCCAACTCTGTGCTGTCCTGCATTGCCAGAGACTTCAGAATACCTCAAACTAATTTCTCCCCTCAAATAAACATTAACTACTTTCCTCACCTCAAATATACCTACACTATACCTGGCGAACTTAAAACACTTTCCTATATCAGAATCTACTTATATGTTCTACAATTAAATCAAAAGCGCATGTTTGCTTTTTTCCTTGACTTTGAACCCTGATCACTGCAATCCGGTAACCATTATTGCCCTATCATGCATCTTATTAAGAGTTAGTGATGGAAGTTCCTCATCTAGTAGTGCACATCAAACTTCAACCCACTAACCCTGCAAGAATCATACTAAATACAAGTAACACATGTCTTGAGAATAGCTTATCAGTTGAATGGTATACAAAACAAGTAACATTGTTTATGCATCAGAGGAAGGAGCTATAAGCTGAATGGTATTGTAAATATACCAGAAATTTAAAGGAATGATATTCGACTAGCAACAGACATATAAAATGGTAAGTATTAATATTATCACACACCTGCTCGTACAAATCCTCCAACTTATTCCTGGGAAGCTTAAGTTGGGCCACTTGAGGCAAAATTGCATCCCACCTTCCACTATTTATATCAGCAATAAATGTCTCAACGCTGTCGACAGTGTTCAAAGAAACCTGGCACTCACTCTGTAATGTTTGAAAGGTTTGGTGCAAGGAATTCTCTTTGCAAAATTGAAGCACGATCTTGATGACACTGAAAGGAAATTGAAAAAAAAAAAACTTTCTCAGCACAACAGAAGAACACAGAGTAAACACGAAAAGCTCGAATAAAACATACTCTCGAGCTTCAATTTCTAAGGTCGACATCTTCTCTGTAACTAGAACGTCGAAGTGTTAGCTCAGAAAGAAACAGAGAGAGAACGATTAGGGTTTACTGTAACGTCTAGGACGCGAAAGGATAATATTGAAAGAGATGGAGAAGAGGATTCTTTGGTTTTTGGGGGCGTGAAGGTTGGGCAGCTGCGCCTGCGTGAGATTTCAGTGGGGAGTGTGAAGGAGAAAGAAAGTTTGAAAGTGATAACTATTGGGCCTAGTCGACAGAGGGGTGGTGGGGAATTTAATTCGAAGGCCCAAAACTGCTTGTGTCTTGCAACAAAGAAACCCACACGCCATAGTGATTATGCGTTGGGCTTGGGTGCTACTCTCCTAAATCTGACCCAAGGTTTTTTAAGAGATTCGGGTTGGGGAGTAAACTGAAGGGAAGGGAGATTTTAGAATTGGCAAAAAGTCACTTTCGGTTCTTGTGGTTTACCATTAAAGTTCTTGTGGTTTTAATTTGGTCACTTTTGTACCCGTGGTTTACAATTCCAAGCAATTCAAGGACATTGTTGCCGTTTGAATTGTAGCACGTGAGGGGCATGTGGAGGGGCATTATAATCAAATCCCTAAGAACACATGCCCCTAAACTCAAAGTTCCAACATATTCGTTTAAACACTCTCATCATCAGTCTATTGTATACTCTAGAGATGCACAAATTGTGGATTTTTTTAGCCTTAAGGTTTTCTTAAAAATTCTCATTTGTGCCTACAAAAATGGGTAAATCGATTGGTATATCCACAACCAAAATGACGAAGAGGAGAAAGGCAAACAGTGCAAGCTTGAACAAACCACATAAGAAAGTGTTTGGATTTGGGGCCTTCAATGGTTTAAGTATGAGAGATTCACTATTATACCCAATATAAGAGCCCAAATTATAAAAAAAACACAATATGAAATGAACGTTAGAAACACACCTAAAGCCCATTTACAACATAATAAAAGGGCTTTTAACTTCATTTAAATTACAAAACTGCCATTGATTTTTTAAAACAAACTCAACACCAAAACCTCATAAAAAAAGCCCAAAACACTTAATAGGGCATCAAAGTAATTTAATAATCAAAATTAAATTCAATAGGGTCAACTTTCATTTTTTGGGTTTTTTTTTGGGTTTGTTTATAAAAATTAAATGGTATAGGGTTTATTTATAATTTTAGTGCTAAGAATGGGTATTTGACTAAATATCTCTTAGGTAGAGAATTTGGGTTTTCAATGCTTTGTTTAAGTGTTTGGTTTGGGTAAATCAGTTTCAATTTGGTTTAAGGGCTTTCAATGGTTTACGTGTTTATTTGGTTGTCTATATGGGTCCGTGCTGGTGTTTTGTGGTTTTGTCAGATTGTGGCTTTTGGTCACTTCTGGTTGGGAAAGGGAGGACTTTAGCAGGTAAAGGTTTATGAACCCTAAGCCACAAATTCCGCCAAAGTTGCCTAATTTGAACGAAGAAGACGAGACAGCTTCATTACATCTAAGGTAGCAATATTTGACTATAATGCCCATCCATGTGCCCCTCACATACTACAGTACCAACAGCAGTGAAGTGAATTTGACTGAATTGAGCAATGTCCTCAAATTGATTGGAATTGTAAACCACAAGGGTAAAGTTACAAATTGAAACCACATGAACCTTTGCGGTAAAAGTGATAAACCACATAGACCAAAAGTGACTTTTTGCCTTCAGAATTTTGTTGTAAAAAACGATGAGGGTGCATTGAAAATGTCAACACGTTGAAATCGGGGCATCATCCTAAGAGATTCAGCTTCGATCTCAGATATGGGAGGGTCGTAAGATGAAGAGGGGTCTGATGGAGTTGGGATGAAGGCAATGGAGGACGATCGTTGTTTGCCCAATGAAGATAATAGGGGACAAATGTTAGAATATCATCATAATTATATGGAAGAGGAAGGGACATAAAGAAAAATCTTCGGCTAATGAGGAGTTGGTCGAAGAGGATTATTCGACTTTGGAGGAGGGAGAAACAGGGGCAATTAATATTTTCAACAATCAATCTCTTGGGAAATCATAGTCTCTATGCATCTAACTGCGCACAAAGGCAAACAAATATATCAATCCAACAATCATGGCAAAAAAATAATTGGGTAGACTACATAAAACCCCTTCAAATACAAGGTGAACTAAATTTAGAGAAAATGATAAGTGTTAGAGAGAGGGTTATGGGAGAAAAATGAGGATGTAGTCCAAAAGAGGTGATAGGAACTTCGATATGAAAGTTGTTTGCTAATTGTGAGTTATTTGTTTATTTTAAAAAACATATTAAAAGAATTTTGAGTCTCAGGTTAGCTTTGGTAATCATAGAGTTTGATTGTAAGTTACTTGTTGTGTTTGAGTGTCATTGTGTCAGACTCAGGAGTCGCCAGGTCAAGGATCGGTCAGGTGGTCACTAGGTAAGATCATGGGGTTAGCATGTCGAGCCAAGAAGTGACTCGTTTGGGCCCATAGTTAAGGAGGCGGGCAATGGCGGAACCACTCCTAAACTTGGAGTGGCCCTCCCCCTCCCCCCTTACCCCTCCCATATTTTTATCCCTCCTTTATTATCTACATAATATATATAGAATTTGTAACAAATAACTTATAATTTAAGTTAAAATTTTCTCTAAAACAAATTAGACATGACTCAATTAGAAATATTTTGTGAAGACCCGTATTTTTTTAAAAGTATATATATTAATAATTTGAAGAAATAAATATTTTGTTGCATATTTAGTTATATATTTAAATTAATTATATATATATATATATTTGTATTTATATAGTTGTCTTACCATTTTAATAATCTAAGTTGGAGGTGGATAACTTAAGCAAGAGGTGGCATTGCTCAAGGAACGTGTAAACACACAAGGGATAGCCTTGTTATCCAAGTAGCTTCATTAAACTATTATATCAATACCAAAGTTCTTATCCTTAACCACCAAAACTAAGGATAGAAGGATGTTTGCCGACTTATGCTAGTATAAATAGGACCTTTCATATTTGAAACAAGAGTAAGAAACAGGGAAGAAATGAGAGAGAGAGAGAGAGAGAGAGAGAGAGAGAGGTGATGAATTTCTTGCGGGAGATATAGAACGTAGCTTGTATTTTCTTAACTTGGAGCAATGCCTTGGAATCGAGGTAGGGATTTCTTGGGGTGCCTTTACGGGGATTGATCTAATTAAATTTCGTGAGCACTATATTATGCATGATATTACTATTATTGATATTGGATGTTGAAGTGTTGTTAATTATCTATATTATTTTATTAAAATTGACATGATCATATGTTATCGGTGATGGCTGGAATTCTTGGGTTAATGGAAAAGAGGGTAATGGAAAGGATCTTTTGTGTAGTTGAGTCTAACTCTTGGCAGGTACCAGGTCTCAGGGATCCCACAGTGCACATGGTTTTTATTGGGTGATTCGGGACTGGTGAAAGGGAGTTAGACAAGATGACTAACAAAAGGGGAATTATGGGACGGTTGAAATGGGTGTTAGTTCATATAAATGGGCATTCGGGACCAAGTGGTATAAGCATGGTATGGGACGTGCAGGTCTGCTTGTCCAGTTATATGAATTAACGGGATTAGATGAAGAGCATTCATTCATGCATTATTCTTAATTATATGATATTTGGTTATGTGATTGCATGTCACTTAATTTAGTTATATCAATCTACTGTGGTAAGGTCTCATGTCCCTACTGAGCGGTGGTTGCTCATCCCTCACTCTGTTTAATTTTTCAGATGAATTAGTGAGCAAGACAAGAACTAAACCAGATGAGGCTGAATTAGATGAGAGTGATAGAGCTTTATTTACTTTTTGTAAAGTTGTAAGATTTTTGGGAACTATTTTTATAAGAAAAGTTTATTTTATGTTTCGGATTTCTTTTTATTTTATTTTACTTTTTATTTTTCTCACACACCGGGCGCGGGATTTCCACCTACCCTCGGGTCCGGGGCCGTCTGTGGGAAGCGATACAAAACACTATGTCGTTCTCCTTCGCGAGTGCTCTCGGCACCCTTTTAAGCCATGCCCTCGGCACCTCCTACAATCAGCCTTCGGCCTTCGGTCATCAGCCTTCGGCCTTCGGTCATCAGCTATCGGCCATCTGCCTTCGGCATCGGCATCGACCTTCGGCTTCGGCCATCAGCCATGCCGAACGGCACCTTCCAGGAGACACTTCTCCAGCGCCTTTTCTCAAAGCCATGCCCTTGCATCATTCGGCGTGTACGATGTTTTCACATCCCCCCAATGATTCAGAATCTGCCTTTGGCCTTCGGCACCCTTGCATCATTCGGCGCGTGCGATGTCTTCACATCCCCCCAATGATTCGGCATCTGCCTTCGGCCTTCGGCACCCCATCATCATTTGGCGCGTGCGATGTCTTCACATCCCCCCAATGATTCGCTATCGGCCATCTGCCTTCGGCATCGGCATCGACCTTCGGCTTCGGCCATCAGCCATGCCGAACGGCACCTTCCAGGAGACACTTCTCCAGCGCCTTTTCTCAAAGCCATGCCCTTGCATCATTCGGCGTGTGCGATGTTTTCACATCCCCCCAATGATTCGGCATCTGCCTTTGGCCTTCGACACCCTTGCATCATTCGGCGCGTGCGATGTCTTCACATCCCCCCAATGATTCGGCATCTGCCTTCGGCCTTTGGTACCCCATCATCATTCGGCGCGTGCGATGTCTTCACATCCCCCCAATGATTCGGCACCTACCTTCGGCCTTCGGCACACAGCATCATTTGGCGCGTGCGATGTCTTCACAACCCCCCAATGATTCGCTATCGGCCATCAGCCTCCGGCATAAGCTTCCAAGCTTCCAAGCTTCCGGCATCAGCTTCCATGCTTCCGGCATCAGCTTCCAAGCTTCCAGCATCAGCTTCCAGGCTTCCGGCAGCTTCTGCCTCACCTTGCCGAACGGCACCCCCTAGGAGAATCTTCTCCTTTACGGCGCCAAGCCCACATGCCGAACGGCATCCCTAGAGACATTTTTCCTTTCCAGCAGCTTCCAAGCTTCCGGCATAAGCTTCCAAGCTTCCGGCATCAGCTTCCATGCTTCCGGCATCAGCTTCCAAGCTTCCGGCATCAGCTTCCAGGCTTCCGGCAGCTTCTGCCCCACCTTGCCGAACGGCACCCCCTATGAGAATCTTCTCCTTTACGGCGCCAAGATCACATGCCGAACGGCATCCCTGGAGACATTTTTCCT